AACCTTATAGCGATGGCCTCCAACCTAGTAGCTTCTTGCTACTAGTAGCATCTAGTTGTATATAACTATATAATATTATAGATATGTCTATCCACTTCTATGTTTAATTTCGGAGGGCAAGTGAATCGGAATTCCCTGGGTCTCAGGCAAGGGTGGCTCAGGGTGTACTTTAATCTTTGTGCAATTAAACAGATCTCACAGACCTGTTTAAGCGACTGAGCAATAAAAAAAGAAAACAAAAAACTGCTACTTCTTTCGCCAACCGAGGAGCCAATCAAGGACAAAACAAAAATTGCAGCGAAGGTTAGGCCTGTTGCGCACATTCCTGGATTGCCATCGGAGCATCCCAAGAAGCTGAGGAGAAAGCCCAGCATGAAGCCTAAACGGCACTGGCTCGTGTGAGGTCAACACCAATTGAGTCCAAAGACTAAAGCGTATTGCATTCCGCTTTCCATCAAGCAACAGCCTCTGTCCCCATGTCTTTTTGCACAAAAAGCCTGACACATTAACATGTCATATGAGCTGCTTGTATGACCGAAATGTCCACTACTGCGTTCTGATGCGTTCTGGATCCGCTCGCTTTTTTGCTCGTCCGCCGTTTCAGGATTTCAGCCCTTTACGCCGATTCAGCCAATTGCGCTACCGTTTCCACCGCGTGAGCACGGATAGAGCGGCTGAATGAGAAGGACCGGCAAAAACTGCTGAAATTACTGAGTGTCCAAATCCACCGATTTACGCAATGGAAAGGCCCTTTGTCTTTTTGTTATCCCTCCTTTGTCCAGGTTTCAGCTGCGGCATCCTTCCTTCTTTGTGACCACCGGCATGTTTCTTTCTAGTGCTGATCTTGAAGCGTTGCTCTCTTGATTATACGTACCTATTTGAATAGAACTGTATATATATATATATGTATTTCTTTCTTTGATTTTATTTATGTCGCTATGCACATCATCGATGTCATGCGGCAAGTTGAGCATTGGAACAGCTGTCACAATTAATTTACACTATATACGTCTTTCCACGAATGTAAGATTCGCTTTCAATTCGTCATTCGTTCATTTGAAATAGTTGTGTTGTGTATATAATTTCGCTGGCCCAAGTTGTCATCTAGAGTGCAATATTGTGCCCTAGTTGTGCAAGAGTGTTTCGAGCTGCCATCAGCACACTGCTTCCTCTACTGTACCGTTAGAATTCTGCGCCAATATAGGCAATAAGCGCTGACCTGGTGTCGTCTGTTTCTATTCTTGCCAATAGATTTTTCATGAGAAAGCTCTACACTGGATGGTACAAATCAGTACAAGCTATATATGTGTGTGTATGTATAATGTTATGTTATATATGCAGTTTCTTGTTGGACAGCGCATACTGTGCCTAGAATGAGACCAATGATGGAGCAGGCCGCAAGACATCCTCGCCACCTGTGCCAAATAAGTTAAATGTGAGACTTTGCAAAAACAAAAACACAATGTGGCAAATATTCAATGTAGCTGAAGGTCAATGTAGCTGAAGATACTCTAGAGACACTTTGAAAAGTTCAAGCAAAACGCACACTCTTGACGGCACTTATTCGCACCTGATTCTTCTCTTGAAGGTCTCAGTTTGCTGAGAGTGCAAAGCCTGCTCAATTGTACGAATAATTCCCTGCCAGGCTAATGAGTTCACACTCTCCCAATCTTCTGTATCTGACATCCACTTTGGAGGCATTTGCATCGAACGTGGCTCGATGAAGCCACAGGTCCATCCTGGTGCAAATTTCACCTGTATGTTATGCTCATTCTCAGGCTTTTTCGGCCCAAAGAGAGCTGCCCACATAAGGCAACTGCTCTACTTTTACTACTTACACTACCTTCCCAGGTGGAAACTTGTGCCACCTTGGGCCCGGCATTTGCAAGCGGGATACTGTCACCAATATTAGTCACATCAGGTGACTGGAAAACTGTTAATCTGCAAGGGGGGGCCCGATGCGACGGGGTCACATCAGGGTCACATCAGGTTCCTGTTTACAAGGCGTTTTAGTGTTTGAAAAATGGTTTGGCTTTATACGAAAATATTCCATTTCCATTGCGGAAGCAGCAGCAGTAGGCATTTACACCAGCAGCAGCAGCAGCAGCAGCTACCACCACCACCACAACAACAACAGCAATAGCAGCAGCAAAGCAGCACACCAGCAGGAGCAAACAAGCAGCAGCAGCAGCAGCAGCGGCCACCACCACCACCACAACAACAACAACAGCAATAGCAGCAGCCAGGTGTTTCTTCTCAGGTGTCATGTCACAGTCGCCACTGCCCTGCGCCATTGGTACCGAAGGAAGTGCTGTAGAGCACGTGAGCGGCTCCAAATGGCTGCAAAGCCGAAGCAAGGATGCTTGCATGGATGACTCACGAAAATTCAAGCAGCAAGGAGCTCTAGCTCACAGATTGCTCTACATTAGGGTCACACCAGGTTCCTTTCTACAAGGCGCTTACTCTTTTGCACCAATTGCCAGAAAGTTTAGGTATTGTATCGCGGAAAGCAGCAGCAGCAGAAGCAGCAGCAGCAGCAGCGGCAGCAGCAGCAGCAGCACAAGCAGCAGAAAAGCAGCAACAGCAGCAGCAGCAGCACAAGCAGCACAAGCAGCACAAGCAGCAGCAGACAAGCAGCACATGCACAAGGCAAGCAGCACACAAGCATACAAGCAGCAGGAGGATATGGTGGTTCTAGGCGAGGCCCGGGCGAGGTCCAGGCGAGGTCCAAGGCAGCACATCCCAGCCCAAACATCATGCCAAGCCCAGAAGCACCCAAGCTCCAAAGTGCACATGGCCACATGCCTAAGATCCAAAGTGCACACAGCAGCACCCTGCAGCGGCACCAGCGCCCAAGCTCTCAAGCGCACACAGCAGCGGCACTCTGCAACGCGCCAGCACCCAAGCTCCCCAGCACACCCTGCGGCGGCACCAGCGCCCAAGCTTGAGCACGCAAACACGCAGCTCTTCCTACACTGGAACAACAGCGGCACCCTGCAGCGGCACCAGCACCCATGCTCGAAAACGCACACATGCAGTTCCTTGAAGTAAGAACCCTAATAGCTCACGCTGTCTGTTGCAAAAACACGATGCAATGACGCAACAAGGTTGTTGAATCTATCACACAAGCAAGCAACGCATGGGCACAGCACATTAACATCAGTTCGTAGAACAAATAGAACAACAACAAACATCCATAGATAAGCCAATCCCCAAGGGCACACCATTTTGATACGACTAAGCGAGGCCCCAGTAGCATTGAAAGAAAGGTGCCCATGTGAAAATCATCGTAAAACAAGGGAATAGCTAGATCATTTGCATGTCGCATGTTCTCAAAGCAATATAAAACCCCATGGAATCATGAAACCGATGCGACTTCCCGAAGACCTTTCGACGCAAGTAACGGCAACATTCAGTGCAAACCGATGCGACTAATCTATCTGAGAGTACTCAGCATGGGCAGAGCACACGAACTCTTGAGTGCAGAATAAGTCAATCAGTCTGATCAAAACGTTGCTCAAAGAACCCTGCAAGCCAAACGTGAGGACCAGGATGTAGTAATTCTTCAAGAAAGTACTCCTTGCTTCCGCCAGCATGCAACCCACCTCACCTCCAGGAAGCAGTAGATGCTTCCATCTGTGGCCTTGTCCTCCATGGGCCTGGTCTGTGGGGTGGAAGAAAGTACTCCTAAAGTTCAAAAGCCTAGTTACCTAGTTTCCCAATCTAGTAGCGCCCTTGCTCCTAGTAGCGATGCCCTTTGTTCCTAGTAGCTTCTTGCTCCTAGTCTCCCAGTAGTAAGGCCAGGAACCCCTAGTAGCGTCCTTGCTCCTAGGAACCAAATCCATGCAAAGAGTTCTTCTGAGCTTTTCTGCGTCCCAGCTAGTAGAACTCTTCCGCTTAGTAGCTTTCTTGGTAGTGGCATACCTCCCCCATTAAACTGAACAAGGGTGTACTGTATATATGTATATTGTGGGATATATAATTGTATATGTATACACTGCATGTATACCTAAAATAAAAACTGTCCGGTTTTGTTCCTTGTTTCTCTCATTCCTCTGCTCTTTTGTCCGAGGCTATGACTATGACCTGAAAGTTGCCTCAACGGCCTTTTGATTCTACGGCGCTGTATGTTTCCGTTTTCAGTGTCGTGCGTTCAGTGTCTTTCGGAAACATCGGAAAAAGTGTTGGACTCCAAATACAATCAATAGCAGCAACAGCAACGACGACAAATAAGTTTCTTGTGACCAAGTTGTCGATGCGACCAACAATTGTTGCCTTGCTGACTTTTGCTGTGTATCTCATGTCCTTGTACCAATGGCCGCGGATCTAGCAAGCAACATGGAACGATGGTAACGAGAAAAAAACAAAAATACATATATATATAGAGATATATAAAGACCTATACAGCCCAGCCAACGAGAGCCGTCTCCGTGTGTCATTTGCCGAGAAGAAATTGTGTCTTGTGCAACAAGACCCACGAGATCGAACTCTTACAACCGTACAAGATCAAAGACCGTTGACAAGTTAACATCAACAGAGGTTGCTGTCCAGGTTATGTTGAGGGTCACCACGAATTCCTTGGAATGCTGGGGTGCCCTTGCCATAGGATGAAAAAGCAACACTTGCCTCCTACAGTTGCCTGAACATGCCCCATGATGCCATGCAATTGAATTAGTCTGCACTGAAAGGGTGACAAACATGAAGCTTAATGTATGTTTGACACATCAAAGAGCTATAAAGAGCCTATAATATTATATATGTATAATGTATCTTCATGCTTTGCTGGTTGTGGAGGATAGAGGACCAAAGACAGTGCAGTCACGGATGATTGCTCCACCTGGTGCAGCTTTGCACAGAAGTTGCACAAAACCTGAACGGTCGGAAGGGTGGTGAGGATTGCAATACTTTAGTGACGGCATCGGGTGTGATCTTCTTCGAAAAAGCAGACACTAAGAGAATCTCAGAGTGGCCTTGCGCCCCATCTCGTCTCTCCAAACAACCAAGCGCATCAACTCCGCCACGGAGTCTTAGTTTTGCAGACCGTGGCTCATGGTCTTATGGTTCCAGAACTGGATGCTGCCGTGGTTCTCAAAAAGCAGGATTCAGATGGGCCAAAATAGAATAGAATACTAAGGACGCTACTAGGGGCTCCTGGCCTTACTACTAGGAACAAGGACGCTACTAGGAACAAGTGCATCGCTAC